AGGAGGTTGGAGACAATTGCTTGGTAGAAAATTTGATAAACTCTTCTCAAAAAGGTAGGAATGCAGTATTTAAGCTGAAAAATTGCTGCTATATAAGTATTTAAAGGGAACGTCATTGTTTATTTTTATAAATTTTTTAGTTGCTAACCATGATTCAACTAATAACGCCATTACTATTGATGTTGCTATCGACACTGTTCAACAGGTTGAACTCCCAATGTGTGATGAACATAATATTGTTTTGGAACAAGGTAAGAACATACGACATAGAAGAATAAATTTACGACTTAAGACTAGGTAGAAGCTTTTACCTATTGTTATTTTTTTTTCTTTTTAGTTGTGATGCATGACTTCCGTAATGAGTCAGAAGGCACTACTACTATTGATATTAATAATATACCAGTAATAATTGAAACACCTCTGTTTAGTGAAGTTTGTCGAGACGTTGATGATTTTCAAATTGAAATTATTACAGACCCTACTCCTATTACAGCCTCTCTCGAACATACTCTTTCGGATAATCACGAACATCTAACGCAGCTACATATTCAGAAAGAAGCAACTACAGTGTTAAGAAAACGAAACCGTAAACGGAAGCCTGAGAGCTGGGCTAAAAATCATAACAAACAACTCAGAATGGAAGGTAAGGCTTATATCGGTTACCGAAATGTTCTCGGCAAAGTAACAAATGATGCTAAAAGAAAAGAAAGACAAATTGGACCAACTTGTACTTCCAAAGAATGTTTAAGAGTTAAATCAAAGCAATGTTCGCAAATAACACAAGAGCAGCGCGTAGAAGTTTTTAAAGCATTTTGGAATACCATGAATTGGGAGCAACGAAAAGTTTATGTTGTTAACCATGTAATGAGTGTACCCGGAAACGAGTATATACCCAACGTGAATTGAGTCGCAGGCATACCACATTAAATTACTATTTAAGTATCAATAACTCCAAAGTACAAGTGTGCAAAAAGATGTTTTTACAATCATTAGATTTAGGTGAATACTGCGTTATGGATTGGGTAAAGAAAGGTAAGCATGGAATGAGCGATTCGAATAAACAAATTGAAGAGACATTGCCCAATAAACAGGTACAAACTGGAAGCAAGCTATTTATGACTGAATTTTTTAATAGCTTACCCAAACTTCCATCACACTATGGAAGAGCCAATTCCTCGAAACTTTACCTGGAAGACGTGTTTCGTAATATACAACATCTTTACGAAGTATACAAGACCAAATGCTTAGAAGAAAAACAACAACCGATGTCGCGAAGTGTCTTTAGTGACACATTTCATTTAATGAATTTGTCAATTCATCCAATTAAGAAGGATAAATGTGACGTTTGTGTAAAGTATGAAGTTGGTCAGCTTGCAGAAGATGACTACCAACTTCATATACTAAAAAAGGATAGAGCAAGAGAGGAAAAGCAGAAAGATAAAGAATCTGGTGTATGCGTATTGGCAATGGATTTAGAAGCCATTAAAGTCTGCCCGTTTGTTACAGCTAGTGCAATTTTTTATAAAACAAAATTATCATGCCACAACTTTACTGTGTATGATTTAGTTAGTCATCATAGTACTTGTTTTTGGTTTACAGAGGTCGAAGCAGATATGACTGCTTCTACTTTCACAACTTGTATAATACAGTATTTGTCCAAGCACTGTCATAATGTAAAGGGTAGCTTGATAATTTACAGCGACGGATGCACGTACCAGAACCGAAATGTGGTGTTGTCAAACGCACTCTTGCAATATTCCGTGGAAAAACGGATTGTAATTATGCAGAAGTATTTAGAGGTAGGTCACACGCAAATGGAATGTGACTCGGTCCATAGTTGTATCGAAAGGCAGTTAAAGGGACGTGACATTCATTTGCCAAGCGATTTTATACGAGAAACTAAACGAGCAAGAAAGAATCCATTTCCATATGAAGTCAAACAAATGCAGTATACCGATTTTCTTGATTACACTTCAAAGAAGAATCATCGATACTCATCAATTAGACCTGGAAAAGTGAGTACCTACCTACTACGTTGTGATAAATAATATGTAAACATTTCTAAAACTATTATTATTATTATTTGATAATTCTTACTTTTAGACAGCAGGCGATCCTACAGTAAATGATATACGAGCCTTAAAGTATGTTCCAGAAGGAACTATTTACTATAAATTAAACTTTGACGATGACTGGAGTTTGCTACCTCAAAGACCAAAACTTGTTAAGTTACCGGTTGTTTGGCCTCAAATGAACAAAGAGAGAAGGAAAATAAAATATGAAAAATATTGTCATCTTCAACAACTGAAAGAAGTAATTCCAGTAGACTGCCATACATTTTATGATACGTTACCTCATTTTGATAAATAATGTTAAGTTTGTTCACATTGTATTTCTCTTTGTCAGTTTGCATAAAATATATTTTTATTAATAAAAGCAATAAAGTATTTATCGTTTCAAATTCCGTAAAATAGGATGGCTAAACGTAATCTAATTATAGGAAATTGTAATAGAACCAATGTAGGAAAATACCTTGTAAGCCACATTTTTTAAAACATCGTGAAAACGATTTACTCGTAACCCACATTAAAAGGCTAAAAACTAAAAAATTAGTAAAATTCTTTTTTAAGATATGTAAGGTAGTTTTAAAAACAAATGAAAATGTAAAAAAATCAATCGTCAACCATTCCACAAAAATTAAAAACGGTTTTTCTTGTCTCCTGAACAATCGCGATTTTGGGGTTACGAGGTATTAGAAAGACACAGACGATATGTTGCAAGGATGGAAGGTCGACCGCCAATATTTTTAGGACATCTTAGTGTTCCAGTCTGCTTATACTCTTTTATTGTGCGGTAAATAGTTGAATTCGCAACACCTAAAATTAACACATTACTTTAGTAAGTCTTGATTTTAACAATAAGTATTCTGTAAAACTAACCTGTTGCCTGTTTAATTTTTGCTACCGTAGCTGTTATTTTTAATTCAGAATTATCAATTTTGATTTGTTTATACATGTTTATAATGCATTGCTTCTCATTTGAAGATAAATGACCCAAATCTACTCTGCGTTTTTTAGGTGGAGAAGAATAATTAACACTAGAGCTTGGCATTGAATCCATATTGTAATCTTAATAACACTAATATGTCACTAAATAGTTCTGAAAAGAACTGTTTTTTATATAAATGCAAACGAAAAATCTAAAAAATCAAAAGAATAACTCAGAAAATGAAAAAAATCGTCGATATAAATTTTGAATTTTAAAATTTCACAAATGTCATTAGTGTCAATATGTCATAATTTAGTGGGGTAAACTTGCCTGCGATTAGACCAATTACAAACAAGCATTATGGCGCGGAAAATTTGAATTACTCCTCCTGGTTTAAAAACAGACCATAGTGTAATAAGCCGGAACCATGTTTACGGAGATGAAATTTATATCAATGAATTCTGCTTCACTTACTAATCATTGTGCAATGATTTTTATGCGGTGCAAGACGTTATTTTTTATGTAATTTCCATTTAAAATATGCCCGATTTTTAAAAGCCACCGCCATTATTCGCCATTATTTACCATGAAACAACAAGAAATGACAAGAATGACAACTGTTTCTTATGGTCAAAAATGGTAATTTTAACCAGTGTTGCCATAGTTATTCAAAATTATGTTTTCTAATTAATTTCAAATTGGACATTAAAATAACATTTTATTATTACCTACTTTTAACTGAAAATTATACCTTTTTACAAGGGTCAGGTTAGGTTTGGTTACGTTTCTTTACGTTTATTATCATATTTTCTTATGAAAAATAAAAAATTTGATTTTTAATTATATTCCTACTTTTAACTGAAAATTATACCTTTTTTACAAGGGGCAGGTTAGGTTTGGTTACGTTTCTTTACGTTTATTATCATATTTTCTTATGAAAAATAAAAAATTTGATTTTTAATTATATTACAAAATTTTATTCTTATTACTGCTTTTTTACGAGCGTTAGGTTAGGTTTGGTTGGTTTAGTTTTATTGTCATGTTTTCTTGTTGGGTTAGATTTGGTTTATTGGTTTGCATTTTTAATATTAAAATGTAAATGTAATTTTCATTAAATTTTAAAATTTAGGTATTTTAAATGTTAAAACTGGCAACAATGTCAAAAGTACATAAAATTTAACTTCTTGCGCATGGCCGCCATATTGTTTTGAAATATTAAAAATCTTGATTATTTTAAACAATTTTACGCATTTTTTTCATAATTTTACAGTAAAAAATAGTGATATTTAATATGTTTTAGTTACGTTTTTTTTATTAAGACATTTATATATACTTTTCTTTGCTTTTTATGTAATTTTTTTTGGTTCATAATACTTTTTTTTGTATTTTTTCTGATTTTTTTGATTATTTGGGCACTTTTAATAGTTTAAAGCAAAGAAAACATTAAAATTTGAGGTTGTTTCCACTTTTTCGGCAAAGTCCACAAAAAATTGGGCATTTTTAAGGCGTTCCGGCTTAGTAAATAATTACCAATTCTTCTAATAACTCATCGTTTAGAATCCGGCCAAAATTCTGGACTAAATTGTTCATTTTATATTTTTATTAACTACACGTTATTCCCATCTACAAATAGTATGAGATTAAATCATCTCTTTAAATTGAACCTGTTATCAGAGAATATAATATATTATGTTAGAAAGATAACGTAAAACGTTACCACATAACGTTTTTTTTTACAAACGTTATCTGTGATACATCACATCAATTTTTAGAATATAACGTAAATGCAGGTTAACGTGCACGTTATTTAATATTTATTTTATTTATAAAACATTTTTGTTTTGATACATCCATCCAATCACAGGGCTGATTTTTAAGATTCAAATTACGTCACAGGAGTACAGTTCAGCTTAATGTTCATTGGTTAGGCGGAAGAGGCAACCGGAGTAAGTCTACGAACCGTGGAATCTACCAAACTAACAAAACATAACCTCTATTTTTTACTTACTATTGTCACATGTTGTCATGTAATAAAAATAATCTTTAAATCGTTTAAAAAATATGACCAATAACTTAGTAAAACCAGTAAGCTACCTAGTAGTAGATACTACAGCGTTTATACAGAATGCACCATTGCAGGTGAGTATTTATCCTAATGTTTGATTCAAGTTAATTAAATGTTTATTGTAATGCAGGATGTTGGAGAAAAAATGGTAACATGTCCAGAAGTAGTAGATGAAATCAAGAACAAGCGACAGCTTAGACGTTTAGTGGTGCTGCCATACGATTTAATCGTGCAAGATGTCTTCCCTGAAAATGTATCATTAATAACAGAATTCTCCAAAAAAACTGGAGACTATCCCAGTTTATCAGCAACAGATATAAAAGTAATGGCCCTTACCTATCAACTTCATAAAGAAAAGAGTGGCACTGAAGGTCTAAGAATTGAACCTGTTATGCAAAAAGCTGAAGTTACTACTGAGAATAAAGCTCTTGAAATGAATCCAGATGTTACTGGATTCTATTTACCTGGAAAAACACAAAAATCGGAAGATAATGAAGCAGGGGATGATCAAGAAGATGATACAGAAGAAATTGATCAAAATATTGAAGGATTAGATAAGTTAGATACTAATGATGTTGATAGTATTTTGACACCAGTTAAAGATGTAGAAAAATCTGGTAAGATATATTAGTACTATCTAATTGTATATGTCTGTATATACAATATTTCCCAAATATCCACAGATTTGTAGATGTGTAGGTTACCCTGAGTTAAGTATCATTATGAAAATGTACCTGTCTAAACATATTTAGGTATCCCCATTTATAAAGTTTGAGAAATTAACTCCTAACTAATTAAAGTGACTCCGCCTTTGTGCAGCTCCATAGTCAGGATTGTTTGCACTATCTTTAACAAAATGAATACCGTGAATAGTTTCCACAGGATTTAGCACAAATTTAATTTGATATAACAACAACGATAAGCTAAATACTGATTGCAAAAACTGTCTGAATATTTCAAATTACAATATTGCAGATTGGTCAGTTACCTGTATTTAATTAATTCCCAATAAAATATTAAATAATACTCATTTAATTTTCAACAACCAACAAAAATACAGGGTGTTTCAAAAAAAGGTAACCCCGTCTCTAGGGTAGGTAAAAAACTGAAAAATAATTGGGGTTTGCTTAGTAAAAAATTTTTGTAACGCCATCCGTTTTCAAGATACAGGGTGTTGAAGAAAAAACAATTTTACGCATTTTTATGATTTTGCCGAAACTATTGGCAACATTGTAATGAAATTTTATATGAATATGTTTTGGAAGCTGATACATCCCATGAATTTGTTTTTACATCTGATTCTCATAGAGGGCGCTAGTTACACGGATCATACTAAGTATTACTCAATATAACTTTTTTAAAAGTATAATTATTAATCAAAATTTCAAGTAAACTTAAACATCATTCAATTTTTCACGAAAAAGGTACTCTTGGTAAAACTTGATACTATGTACCGTTTTCGGAATATTTTGATTTGAAAATTCTGAAGTAATAATTGATGCTGGTAGTAACGATAAAGTTCTAATAGGTATACCTCTATTTTCTCCAAGTGTGCCATGGAAATCTGACATTTATTGATTGTTATGATGATAAATCAACAATAGAGTTTTGAAACCTTGTTATTTGTAAAATCAAATCAAAATATACTCAAATGTTGAATACACTGACATGTTATTAACCTTGGCGAATGTTTAGGATGTTCTAGTGCAGCTGTGACACGTTATGCAGAAAAGTTTCCCAGAAGAAACTTACCAAGTAAAAAAACATTTAGAGCCGTTGAACGACGTTGTCGAGAAACTGCGAATGTGAGACCAAATAAAATAAATCCTGGTAGACCAAGAACAACAAGAACAATTAATAAAGAAAATAATATTTTAAATTTACTTGATCAAGATCAGTTAGCGTAAGGAATATAGCAAGACAAACAAATACTTCTTCAAGTACTTGGCGGATACTGAAAGAACAGCAATTACATCCTTCATCATTACAGACAAGTCCAAGAGCTCTTGCCAGATGATCTACCAGTTAGACTGCATTTTTGTGAAATATTGCAACAAAGGACAGCCCACAATCCAAATTTTTTAAAATGCACTTTTTTTTTCAGACGAGGCCACCTTTACGCGACAAGGTATGTTTAACTCCCATAATGCACACTACTGGTGTGATGAGAATCCACGAATCAAAAGGGTATCACCAAAACTCATGTAAAGTTAATGATCTTGATTTTTTAAACAATTCCTTATTCGAGATATTAGAAGATTTAACGCTAAACGAGCGAAGATCTTTATTTTTTATGCACGATGGAGCTCCACCACACTTTGATAGAAGGTGTCGTAATTAGAAGGTAGAGGTGCAGAAGCTCTGATTCATTGGCCTCATCGGTCATGCGATTTAACCCTTTGGACTACGCAGTTTGGTTGTATATTAAGGAAAAAGTCTATGCTACAGAGGTAAATTCACGTTAAGAATCGGAAGAAAGAATTCAACGTCAATTTAATGACATCATAGCTGATCCCCTACCGTTTAGAAGGTTAATGGAATCTTTAGAAAAAATAATAGACTTGTGTATTCGCGAAAACGGAGGGCATTTAGAACACTTACTGTAATTGAATTTTGTTTTATGTTCTTAGTCATTAATTTAATTTTCTTCTTGTGAGTTTTGTTTAATTACTAACTATTTTATACCAGCATCAATTATTACTTTATAATTTTCAAATCAAAATATTCCGAAAACGGTACACAGTATCGAGTTTTACCAAGAGTACCTTTTTCGTGAAAAATTGAATGTTTAAGTTTATTTGAAATTTTGATTAATAATTATACTTTTAAAAAAGTTATATTGACTAATACTTAGTACGATCCGTGTAACTAGCGCCCTCTATGAGAATCAGATATAAAAGCTGCTTGTTGTGTCTATGGGATGGTAAAGATGTAAACTGACATTATAGTTTTTAGAAAACATAAATCATTGTTCATTAATTAAAGGAAAAACCTAATTCTTAGGAAGTCTTACAGCTATATTTCTGTAGAAGTAAGATTTGGCAAGGAAAAAATTACAGAACGACCTAGAAAGGTACCTATAGAGCCATCACAATGGAATTAATTTCTAATAAAATAATTCAATCAAAAAAAAATTAATGAAATTATGACATCCTGGGATTACAGAATTTTTCAGATGTTGATGGTTTAACATTTGAGTCTTGCAATAGGTCAACCTCTTCAATTGATTGTTGGACTATAGGAGAGGAAGTGACATGATGATAGAAGCATCCAACTGATAAAAAAAGAGCAGCCCAGAACAGCCGCCTAAAAGTTAAGGAAAACAAAACTTCAGCAGGATGAAGTTACCTCCAAAACAACCATAGGAGAATACTTTGAAAGCCTAAATATTTGGGTTCACTAGTTATGTCAGACAAAAACATTACTGAAGAAGTTAAGAGAAGAAAATGACTACTGAGATCTGAGCACTTATCAAGAAAAATAAAGTATCTATAAAGCTCTTATAAGACCAATCTTACTATATGGATCAGAGATATGAACATTGTCAAAAAAGGACTACAAACGGTTAACTACCCTTAAAGAAAAAATTTAAAAAACTAAATAGACACCAACAGGAAGAAAACTAAAGGAGATACCAAGACTTAGATACAGGGAACAAGTGGAAAAGAATTAAAGATTCTGATTAAATCCAGCTTGGAAAACAAAGGCATAAAAGGTTAAAATGAGGAAATATGAAAAAAACAAATCTATGAAAGCAAACACCCCTTTGGTATATACAATCTAAAACCCATAAATTATTGTATAATCAATGCTGGTGATGATATTATTCAATTTAGTAAATCGTGGTCCATGTTATGTTATTATCTCATGTTATCTTTCTTTTATTTATTCTTTTCTCTTTCCAATTTCCAATTCTAGTTTTTGCATAATTTTAAATCATCTAATTATGACATTATTCACTATGGAATGTCTAATAATAATAACCAAGAATATATAAAAAATAATGCACTGATTTTCTTTAAAAGTAATATTAATATAATTTCAAAACATCAATAAGTCAAGCTGCTAATTAATTTTTACATGGATTGATTGAATATGATAATGATTGAATAATGATATAAATGTATTAATTATTAAAAACCTTATAGAGAGTGGAGATTCAGAAAACAGCATAGAATTTGAAGATAACAGTGATGATGATAGTGGCTGGATAACCCCATCAAATCTAAAATCTGCTAAACAACAATTAAATTCAGAAATAATGGAAGAAAACCATGTAGAAGTATCATGCATGACTACAGATTTTGCCATGCAGAATGTCCTCAGACAAATGAATTTGAATGTATCAGCTTTAGATGGAAGACTTATAAAACAGCTTAGAACTTACATTTTACGTTGCTATGCTTGTTTTAAGACAACTAGTGTCATGACTAATAAATTCTGTCCAAAATGTGGGAATAACACATTGAAGAAGGTAGCTGTATCTCTAGATGCACAAGGGAAAATGCAAATTCACATTAATTCCAAAAGGCCTCTTACAGGCAAAGGAAAGAAGTTTAGTTTGCCAAGGATAAAAGGGGGTAAACATCCAAATAATCCTATATTGGTAGCAGATCAGCCTATGCCAGATAATAGGCCCACCCGGTTGGCTAGAACTAAGACTAATCCTCTTGATGACGATTACACAGCAGGTATGTAGTTAAATTGCAATAATTTGTGATTTCGTTAGAGCAATAATAAATATCATTTTATTTGATTTTCCTATCTGTTAAAATTGTTAGGTAACAAAACAGATGTGTATTACTTTAATAGATTGATTTTAATACAATAAATGAATTAATATCTAACTCAATAAACTAATAATTTTGCAAATAACTATGAAAACAAGTCAAAATAGATGTTTTATTCCATTGTGTTTCCGGTCTGAATTCATTTGTAAAGATCAAAAAAATGAGACACAGAATTGTAGTGATTCTAAAAACTAAAAAATATTTAACAAAATAATGTTGACATCTGTTTAGTTTTATTAGCCACTGTATATACCACGGAATATTTCCTTAATAGGCTTAACACTCGTAATTTTTTGAGTACACTTTTCTATATAGATAAGTTAAAATGTACTTTAAAAACTTTCATCCTTAGTAACATTCTGTAACTTGTTTTATATTAGTGGTAGTGAATGTGGTGATTGATTTTTAAATCACGCCATGATCAATGACCATGATTTTTGAATAACAGTGATCTTAAACAGTGACTAAGATCACTGTTCTTTTATGTACAGTAACAGGTATTCACAGTAATTGTAAACTAAATAACACGATCGCGGTCACTCTGTATTAGATAGTACTATAAACACATATTGCTGATATTGAATATGTTTAACTAACACAACTAGATGGTTTAAATTCTAACTAATTTACAATACTAACAATAAAGTAATATATTTAAATTGCTCTAAAACGTTCTTGACAATGCTTCCTCTTTAAATAAAACTATAAATATACTCGAGAATTTCATTTAATTTTTTTTGTAAACTTTGAATAATTTTTTATGAAAGGAAAAAATATATTCAATATGTTTAATCACATTATTTTAAAATTTAATATTTTAAAAAGAGAAATATCAGTAGATAATATCATAAAATATCTATGGAAATTCATTTTGTAAAAGACAGCCGTACAGTAAGACATGGTACTGAGTTAGTACAGAATTTTGGAATCGCCATTATGAATAAATTGAAGATATACAATAAGCCAATTGGCTGCAGTGTGACTGGTGATTGGTAATTAAGTTAACATTCTCGACTAAACATAGTATTTATTATCTGTTAAGGAAAGTTTTTGTCTATTATACACCAGTCATACTGCAGCCAATTGGCTTATTGTATATCTTCAATTTATTCATAATACCCATTCCAAAATTCTGGAACGTTTTACCGGCTTATACAGATCTAGTGGATAGCACCATATGTTTGCCCTATATAATTTAGTGCCTCACAGATCTAAAATATGATTGACTGTTTCAGCTTCTATACCATAGAGTCTGCAAATTGTCTCGAGTTATTACGACATTCATTATAAGAAAATTCATTGTTACTACTTTTTTTGTGTTCCTACATAAGCCCATGTATAAGAAAAAAGGAAATAATACATTACAAAATAATTAGTTGTGCAAATAAGCTATAGACTAATAAATTGTATACAATACTGTTCAGTTTACAAAGAAATAGCAGTATAGTTGGTTTTTAAATGCATTTATAGATAGAATTTATAATTTCCGCTCTGAGACTGTTTCATATACTAAAAATACGAATACACAGAAAATATTAGCACTTATTAATGAAAAGGTTTCCTTATTCACTTTCAAACTGTGTCTTCATAGTCTGGTGTGATTATCTAAAATAAACACGTGTGGCAAATTTCCATATCCACACTTTAAAATTCGGCCACCATAAAGTCACCACTAAGTCACAAGCTTCAAAAGGTGATAACCCTCCTAAAGAAAGTCTTTGTTCTTAATCTGGCCTTTTTCGTTTGAAAGATAGTCTAGTGCAACGGTCGGCAACAGGCGGACCGCGGTCCGAATGCGGACCGTGAAAGGTTGAACTGCGGAATATCGATTGCTGAGTCAATCAAGAAAAAATCCACAGAGGCAGCGTTACGTGCGTACTGGATATTTGTGAATAAACACCAAAAAACCATGTTCTGATTCTGAGATAGTGAAGGAATGTGTGCTGGCAGTAGCTAACTCACTTTTTGAAGAAAAAACAATGTTGCCTCAAAGCATCTCCTTGTCAGCGCGAAGTAATACACGAAGAACGGAAATTTTAGCTGAACTCTCTTCTGAATCTTTTGCAAAGGGCACTTTGCTACGCCATAGTACTTGACGAATCATGTGATATTGTTGATGATGAACAAATGTCTGTTTTTGTAAGATTTCTTGATATTGAGTGTCAGATTTTTAGGGAAGAGTTGCTAGCAATATTGCCGCTGAAAGGTAAAACTCGAGGAGAAGATTTATTCAAGGTAATTAATGAATTAATTTCTAAATCCAACATCAGTTTTATTAAAATGATTTTGCTTTCTACTAATGGGGCATCAGTAATGATTGGCAAAGAAAAAGGTGTAATAAAGAGGATCAGGGATAAAATTCAAATTTAATAACATATCAATGCATAATACACCAGGCAGCCCTTTGTGGAAAACTTAGTGCTAGACTTAAAGAAGTCATGGACAGTTTAGTGTAGTTAATTAATTTTATGAGATGTCATTCTGTTCTTCAGCACGGACATATCAAGAAGTTTCTTTCTGAATAAGATTCAGCATATTCTAACTTACTACAACACAATAATGCTCGTTGGTTAAGTAAAGGTCAAGTTATTGAACGTTTTTGGCTAATAAAAGAACATGTGATCTTCTTACAAGATATAGATACGCAGGGAGCCAGGGCATATTTTGAGTCTATAACAAACAGGCGCAACATGCTAGTTGTGGCTTTTCTAAAAGATATTTTAAAATATTTGAATCCGCTTAATACAGAGTTACAAGGAAATGGAAAATTAGTATGTGATCTGATACAAACCGTGTCTCCTTTTCGTCGTAAGCTGGATATCTGTGAAAAAAAAAATTGCACAACAAGAAGACATTGTAGTGTTCGTTAAATTTCTTGGCGATCTTAGAAACGAATTTGCTTCAAGATTCCAAGCTTTGCACAGGTAAGCAGACGATCTTTATTTCTAAAATCACCATTTGAAGTTGATGCAGCAGCAAAATGAACAGTTGTGTCTGCTAAGCTGTTTAATCTGTCAAAAGCATTACCTCAAATGGAGATTATTGAATTTCAAGAAGATTTGTCTTTGCACGTTTATAAGTCGTCTTTCTCAAAAATGAATTTTTTGAAAAACAAATATACACATAAAATTACTTGCCGACCCCTGGTCTAGTGGCTTTCCTATGGATATTTTCGATAAGAGTTCTATCAAGCTCTAATTCTGGGGATTAAACTGTTCTACAGTACTCCAGTAGGGGTCAGACATACATTGTATACAAATGAATAGAGTCTGAAAAGGATATTTTTGTAAAAATCTTATTAAGTAGATATAATTTATTATTCGCTTTTTTAGTAATGTTTGAAATATGCTCTGGCCAACTCAAATTTTAAGTAATTGTTACACTAATGTCCCACATATATTTTTTTTTCTTGGTACTCGATCAAATGCTTATATATATATATATATATATATATATATATATATATATATATATATATATATATATATATAAATATGGAACAGCAACTCCACAAGTCCGTTTTTTGTAATGCTGCTGTCCATTCGTTAACACAACACAGTAAATTAGTCATGGTTGATTAACTTGTCACAAATCAATGTTGTAGGGGAATAATTTGTTTTCGAGGCAAAAATTCCGAAAGACACTGTGATAATTAATTCCATAACTTTACAAGTAACAGGTGTAAGGCTTATGGGTCTGTAATTATTGAGATCTAATTTATTTCCTTTTTTTTTTAATATAGGCGTTACCGAATCACTCTTCCAAATTCGAGGTAAAGATTGTGCATTAAAAGATGAACACATTATTGGTGATAGTGGAAGAGCGAGAACATCTGAACATTTTTTTCAAAAATAATGTGGAAATTTTAGTGGGTCCTGGAGATGAGTAGTTTTTTAATTTGTCAATATGGCGCTTAATTATTTTAGGTGCAAAATCGATATAACGAATTTTGGAAATAACTCGTGAGTGACTGATTTAAGGAAACTGGTTTTGAGACAGTTTAATAGCAAAAAACTTTAGAAAATGTATCTGCAAGAATATTAGGGACTTCATATGTATTCTTGCAAATCGTTTCATCGTTCTTTTTTAATAATGAAATGGACACTTTAGAAGTCATCAAAGGCATAACATATTTATACAGTTTTTTCGAGTTGTTGGAACTTACGATAGATTCATCATAAAACTGTTTTTATTATTACTGTGTAATTTTTGTGACGTATATCGCCTGTACATTTACATTTTCACCATAACTTTCTTTTTTGTCATATAAGTGATATCAATTCGCCGTTAATTCACGGCTTAAGTTTATTCCTATATTAAGTATTTTTGTGGTATTGAGTCTTTCGTAGTTTTCAATGATGCTTATGAAATTATTCCAAATTTTTTCCGGATTTTCTAGACTTCCCAGTAATCACGGCCAATCAACATCCCGCAGTTGAAAATAGAGGTTTTCAAAATTTGTTATATTTCATGTATAATTGTATTTTCACTAAGGTGATTATATTCCATAATAAACTGTATGTTTGCTGTGATAACTACATGATCAGAATTGCTCTCAGGAGTGCGTATCACCGGTTCTGTAAGCAATTGGTCTTCATTTGTAAAAACCAAATCTATCATTGATGGCAAATTGTTTATTCTGAAACGAGTTGGATTCGTAATCAATTGATGTAGATTAGAACTTTGAACAGTTTATAAAAATTTTTCTCGCATTTGATAGTTCATTGCTTACAACAGGCAAAGACCAAGAGGTATCGGCAAAATTGAAGTCACCAAATAAGACAAGGATTGAAAGAAGTTTCATTTTTTCGATCAAGATTATGTCATCTTCTAGGGCAGTACTATCTAGAGGATATAGGCACGTCAGGTGAATTACAAATGAATTTAGAGAAATTTTTAGACATAAAAGTTTAAGTCTAAAAGTAGAGAAAGTTTTAGACATATAGAATACAGATCACGACATTGTTTTATTGACCATACAACACAATAGCAATCAATGTGACATGTTATACGTTTCCACCTCTATATTCATTTCACAGTAGGTACGAATTGTCGTAATTGTCACATTGACATTAAAAATTTCAAATGAAGTTCTGAAAGAATAAACAAATAATGAATAAAATGCCTATTACGTTGTATACCGTCCAAGAAAAAGTGCAACTTTAAAAAAAAATGTTAAATATAGTTAAAAATACCATTAAACATTTTCAAACTTCGGGATGTGTAAACAGTTGTAAACACTGTCATGAAGGTAATGAACGACGTGTTAGACCTGTCGATGAGGAGCGTCAAAACAGGGATATTGGTATTTGTGCTTTTATGGAAGCTAGTGAACCCTATAATAGTGTACAAATTGCTAGGGAAGTTAACGTGAATGCTCGAACTGTCCAGCGAGTTCTCAAAAGGAATGGGTATCACTGTTTTAAGATACCACTGTTTCCGGAAGATAACTTTAGGCGGGTGGAGTTTTGTGAATTTATGTTAGATAAACAGAATGAAAATGTACACTTTTAAAAAAATATTTTATTTTCTGACGAATCTTCATTTTTATTACATAAAAAACACAATACATCCGTTGCAAGGTATTATTCTCGGAAAAATAAGCACCTCAGTGTTGCAGTGCGAACGCAGCATGATTATCAATTATTTTTCATGAACTTTAGTGCATACATAACTTCTGACTTTGTTATTTCGGGTCCCTCGTCTTTACTCTGATTATCTTCATATATATTTTCCTGTCTTTAGTCATGGAATAATTCCTCTATATATTCTTTCCATCTTCCTAATTTTGATATATTCTCAATAGTATGCTTGAGGTTTGTTGTTTTACTATCCCAGCTAATTCTTTAACTTTCTTATGGAGATTGAAGTTATCATATTTGTTTTGTAAGTCTTCTATTTCTTGGCATTTTCTAGCGAAATTAAATCTCTTTAGCTTCTCTTATTTTCCTTCCTATTTGATTATGCAGCTGTTGAAACTGAGTTATGTTAATATTCTTTTGCCTTTCTGTCATCCATCAGATTTATTCTGTCATACAATCTCCTTTCTTGCATCTGGTAGTTGTGAGTTCTCTGCGACTTGGTTCGATAATTGCATTTTTAAAGAATCGCCACTGTTGTTCTATGATTGTTGCCAATTGATTCCGGTGTCGATTCTATGTTTTCATTAATTTCTTGTTTCAGTTTTTCTTTGAGGACTTCTGATTTTAATTTTTGTATGTTTAGTTTATCACATTTGTAGTTTTTTTGTATCTTTTTTAAATGAAGTTGGAATTTTGTTACAAGAGGATTGTGGTTCGATGCCACGTCTGCACGTGGGTACGCTTTCATCTATTGTATTGCGTTTCGGTATCTGTGGTTTATTAAAATCAATTTGGTTTCTAACGATTTTATCGACCTTAGCTGGCGATTTCCAAGTGTAAAGGCGTCGTTTAGGCAGTTTGAAGAAAATATTCATTACCGCAAGATTATGTTCTAGGCAGAATTCTATAAGGCGTTCTCCTTTCCCATTTCGAACACCGAGTCCATATGGTCCTACAGTAGACTCACATCTTCCTTCTCCAACTTTGGCGTTAAAATCACCCATGACTACTGTTGATACTTCGACAACAATATTTGTAGTCACGGTCATGAAATAGCTCAAAATTTAGATGATCAATGTTAATAGTATTTATAAATTTAAATATCTTTCCAATGTAGTTTTGAAAACAACTTGATATCACTTTTTATATTACACTGCATTTTGGTAACATGCAATAATTAATTATCTTTATACACTTTTAAGGTTTTTCTCCATTTGTGATGAGAGATGTCAATTCAAAATCGGCACAGCTGTGTATAAGACCAGGACAAGAATTTAAATATTGGATGAAGAAAAATCCAAATGAAGCAAGAAGAAGAAAAAAGTGATATATTTAAATTAATAAAACATATTAAAGTTATTGTGGTTTTATATTTAATCTTTCCAAACTAAGGTTTCAATCATTTTAATTTGTAATACAATTCCATTTTACATATTTTTAAAAATCCAATATATTCAAAAACTGTTTAAACTACTTCCACACAATGGGTACAGTTGAATTTTTTTTTGTTGATTAATAATGATTTCCAGAGCATCTTGGAATAATAATATTTATGCTTTTTACTGTAGTTAAAGGGATATTTAACGTTGAAATATGGAGTTGGCCGTGTTTGTAACCAACATGTGGAGATAGACGTTTTTGTCACCAAAAATATTGCTGATGGTGTCGCTGATATCTTAAGTCAGCAGTAATATACTGAAGATTTTTTTGGTCAAAATAAAAAAAGTTGAAATATGTGTTACAAATATTAACTTATTGGGCTAATACAATATTTGTCAATAAAATTTAAAAACCCGATCAATACACTAACTACAAAAGTTCTTTAGATACCTGCTTGATCGGTAGACAATATCTGAATCTTACAATAATTCTGAATCAAAAGTCCACTACAACTTGGTTGACTTCCATGACTTCCTCACAGTCTGCATTATTTAAGCACTCACATTCAGGAAGTGGATTTTCAGGCATCATTTCATTATTGTTTATCACTTCGTGATACCATTTCACATTTTCCATTTCACTCCATTTTTCACCATAATGTTTTTGTAATAAAACCCGCACGTTTTTAATTTTTAACGCATTCACTTTGACTCCGAGCGTAAGTTCAGTTGGGTTTATATTCTACACTTTTTTCCCTGGTTTCATGACACTCAAACTTGAATTAATTGGGAAACTATAGTTTTATTCGCCACTGACAGTTACTGACTTTTGTTTCTTGGTCAGAATTAACTTTTTGACTTGTGAAATTTTGAAATGAAGATTTTTGGGTCTTTAACACAGTTTTTAGCTTCTGACTTCCAATCTTGGTTGGTCCAGTCTTTTCCTAAAAGTTTGACTGTCCCATGCTTACTAAATTCTGAATGATACTCTTCAAGCTGCACAATTGTATCTCTTTTCTTTAAACTTCGTTCTATTCCACCAAAAATTCTATCACTAGGCATATATGAGTGACCGGTAACAGGAAACACAAGCTCCACTGTAGTGATTGAAGTTTTAGTCATGTGAAGCCAAGAAATGCACATCGTTAATACAATAGTATTCTTGTTTTGGCCTGGACACCCATCAGCTACCATCCTTAAGGTGTCTTTTCCTTCAAAGTAACCAGATTTAGATCTGCACTCAAGTTCTTCAAATACTGCAGAGGCTATTTCATTCGAAGACTTTTTCATTTCGTATTCGGCCCAAGAGTAAATTGATACATTTTCTTCCAGTAGAACATCCAGAAACTATCGTCAGATTATAGCAGTATAACTGTCTTAAATAGTGTACACTCTGATCTTAGAGCTTTGGCAGAGGCATATTTTTTTCATGTCGTACGACATTATAGCAACATTAGGTTCATCTTTTTTCAAAAGGTTAAAAAACCCTCTAGCACGTGTAGCGTGAACAGTGTATTCTGATTTAAGCGTTTGCAATATTGCTTCATTTTTTTCAACTTTAATTTTTTCTTTGTACTGAAGGCAGGTTGAACACACATCTGTCGAAGGTCTTTTAAAGCTAATGTTGAACCTAGTTACGAATATATGTCGGAAAAACGACTCTTTAACTTTAAATTCATCAACATCGGATTTCTTCGTACATCTTCCACATTTTAGAAATAGACAGGGTGGAATCAAGATAAATACGAGTACTCCTCGCCCTACTGTAATGTGATTCTGTGCCTTTAAACTGCTTTACAAAATGTATTACAGAATCAATTTTTTTCTGATATATGTTAGCCTTCCTATAACCACCTCGAGTTTCCACGGGGATGAGACATCCGTCTTTTTTAAATCTTTTGAAAACACCTTCAATTCTGTGTTTTGTGATTCCCAATGCAGTAATTAACGTGTTTCTACATATCTCTAATCTATTTCCTGCTGTTGTTTCAATACAATATTGGTAGGTTACCCCTTTAGTATGTCTTGATCCGTCTCCTGATCTGGTTCTTTTTGGTTGTTCTGCTGTGCAATACTTGAGAATGAAAGCATCTTGGCTGGCTTTTGTCTTTTCAGAATAAAATGCACTATGAAACCTATTTATATCTTGCATCTTCAACAAACTGCAATTTTTCTTCCCTCTGTGACCACATGAAGGAGCATCAGGTAATCCCTTTGAACTGTACCTAAAACAAACATTGGATCCAAAATACAAACTGTTTTATGTCAGGGAAACTTATTCTATTCTAACATAAGTTGAAGAAAAATAAAAATAATGTGAAGTGTGAATAGGTTAGGCCTACTAGAAATTGTTTCATTTTCACTCTAATAACTAGGCCTAAGTAATAGTAATTTTAAATGAATGTTATTTAAGTTTGTCTATTAGTTTATTCAATGTTAGGTTATGGTTTAATACTAACCTCAAAATCTTCTGTTTGGCTCTTTTCCAATGTGAAGGATTTGGTAGTTTCTTTCTTCCTTTCAACAAAGGAGATTCTTTAACATTAGTTCCTTCCATGTTATTTCTGCAGATCTGTTACAGTAATATCTTTTTAGTATATTAGTAAAACTTTAAAATACTAAACAATAAAACAACACCAGTCACAACACACCAGAATAGCTCGGTCAGTTCACTGCTGTCTTCTATTTCACCTGAGGCGGTGAGGTCACGTGAGAGAATGAAGCCATCTGATTGGTGCTTTGTGGAGATGGCCGTCTTGTCAGCAACATATTTGAGAGCTGGCCGTTTTGTCACCAACATATTTGAGAGCTGGCCGTTTTTTGTAACCAAGGGTACTATTCAAATGCAGTTTTAACATTGTTCTGGCCATTTTTGACACCAAAACTATTTAGATTTGGATTGCCCATGTTATTTTACATAAGAATCCGTCAATATCTGAATTTTCAAAAAAATGGAGTTGGCCATCTTTGAAACCAGGCTACAGATATATTTTGAAACTAGTGAACATCCTGCTACAATAACTTCCCAATACTAATACATACTATTGAATAAAATCGTACTCAATAGTACGTGAAATAAATGTTTTGGATTAATATTGAACGTTTCGAGAATTTTTTAAATTCAAAGTTAACCCTATACTGCGCAATGTAGAAGATTTGCTATAACACAGTTTTCAGCTACGTATATTAAATTTAACAACAATTCCACCATTTCGCTGTGTATCATATTAGATACATCCTAATACATATTAATGCATAGAATTTTTCACGATCGTGTGGAAATTTAGATTTGTATCCTTTGTTTATCCCAAATGTCATAACACCTCATCCGTGGTCCAGTTTTGTTTGTCTATTAAGAATGTCTTGATGGGCCTCTAGACGAGAAGCAAGTGACCCTGTAACCTTATCCTTATCGTATATTCTTCTATTAATTATCCGTTAGGTTTCTGTTAGGGATAGGGTTGCCCACAGAACTTTTTCCAATTGCTCGTTTATGTTATAATTATTTCCCAAAGAGGAAGTAAGTCTTTTTAGTGGACAGATTAAGACTTCCATCTATATATTTTTTGACAATTCTTAAACTACAGAAATGTGATTCTATTAAGGGAAATGATTTATGTGCTCACGTATGTTGGCTATTATCTGTGGGTTAATAGCCCTTCCCATGTGTCCATACTTGCCACGTTTATCCTTTTCCAGAAATCCATCCTGAAATTTTTTTTTTCGTAACGGTAAAAATAATTTTTGAACTGACGTTTAGTACCCATAAAAAATGTCTTACAAACTACAATTTCATTTCCATTGATAGAAAATGTATAAACGAAATTTTATGACCTTTTTAGTTCAGGGGTAGATTTTTTGGTATTATGTTTTTAACTCAGATATGTGCCTTATAAAATAAACTCTCTTTGGTCATTAATATTGCCCATTTTCCAAAAGCTGTTGTGTATTTCTTTACGTAATTCGTTATTAATTTTTTCACTGCCTTTGGGTCCACAAGCTGGTTGAACACTTCTTGCTGCCATTATTTTACCTTTTTTTGTCGTGAAACTTTTTCCTAGATTTCTTTTTTTCTTTAACACATTCTTCCCCCAATTGTCTGGATTTTTAAATCTTTTTTTTGTGAAAATTTTCTCACTCACTTCAGTTTCCTCAACCATTTCTTCTGTTTCAGCAACTTTTTCATGGTAGTTCTCAGCTTAATTGTCACTAGAATTAGTATTTGCCCCATAAGTGTCGGGTACAATATAATCTTTATCGTTGCTAGGATCACTAACACTAGAATTTATTTCCTCATCGCCATCTTTTCTCTAAAATAATAATATCAAAGTGAAATTATACTAATATTAAATTAATTTTTTTGCTTATCGGGTAGCAAGTTGATAAACTTAAATAGGTTTTCTCTTGGCTTTTGTCAGCACAGTCTTCATTAACATTTTTTTCAAAAATTGCAGCTGGTTCCTGAGTGTTTATCAAAAAATCAAGCGCATTTTCATTACCATCTAATTCCGCAGTAACACTACCATTTATATCTTCAATAATATTGCAATATTGTACCTAAAATAAGTTATTGTAATAATGAATATATTTTTTAATACTTTTAGAAAAATTCCTTACTTGATCGTGTATAAAAAATTCTCTCGATGGAAATTCAGGTACCTATTGCACGGAGAACGGATGGATAGCCACTGCTGAATTAGTTTGGTCATTATATGCAACATTCCCATCAATTATCCGTATTAAGGTTTTTAGTAGTACCCTAAAACAATTTGAAAAACTTTTTATGACCTATTATCAATAAACAAAATGCTACTAGTTTACTACAGCTAACCGGCTTACCTCTTTCTGAAAAGTTATTTCGTCCACTATTTGGTTTAATGGCTCATTTTCCATCACTATTATTTAGTTCGCCAATAAGGCAATTCTTTTACCTCTACTTATAGGCAACATTGTAATACTTGTAAAACTTACGAAAATACACAAAATAACGGCACTAATATTGTTCTACACTTGAGAATCAAATTTGTAGGCAGTAAATTCTCCGAACTAAAAATGCGATAAAGCGATAACATCGTTGCCAGTTTGTGATGATAGATATTCTAGCAATTTATAATTTAATCATTGACATGCAGCAAAATTATCATATTAATGATCGTTTTGTATTTGTTTAGGTATCTAATAACATCAATATTTATGAATAATATATTTATAAACAATACTTAGAAAACATCTAAAGTACGATAATATTCTTTGTAAAAGTCATACATGACAACATCGTATTCTAGGACCGGTAGAAAGGAATAGTAGATCAACGTTGTCATAATATAGAGATAAATTGCTCATTGATTTTCTAGCTTAGCATTCAGTAGAGTTACGTCCCTGGACTATTCAATGTGTGACGACATATAGAAAGACTATATATACCAGTGTTTAATTAGATTAAGAGCTTTTTGTTTTGTAGTTGTTACCATACCTGTACGTTCTCAAAAATAAATTTTGTTACGAAAATAAAATTTTTTAAAAATCCGTTTTCGGTTTTGACATTCGTAACTGTCGCAGTCATTCGGATTTTTCGAAGTTGTACAAGTGTTCGTGTTAGCCTTGCCGAATTTCGCGTACAATTTTTCTTTTTAAAGATTTACGGAAAAGATCCAGCTTTCGGGTACGGTAACAGCCAAACGTCCAGGGTGAGGAACAAGCATTGTCCACAACCTATTGGAGAAGCCAAGACCAGGGAGAAGGAACAAGCATCGTCCAGAATCCTATTGGTGCAGACGGAGGAACAAACATAGTCTGAAGTCTATAGAAAATGAAAATATTCATGTAAGTGTTTCCTATTTTACCAATATCCATATTTTTACCTATATATTATATATTTTTTGATTCACGGTGGAGGATATTTTAGATCATTTAGTAAACTTAACATTTAACGAAATGACTCAACCTAATTTTCAATTAATTAAATATCAAGCTGATAATATTCCTAATTTTGATGGCAATCCGAAACAATTAAATAGATTTATTAAATCATGTGAAAATTTCTTAAATAATCATAGCAATAGAGATGCAAATAATCCTATAAATGTTTGTCTATTTGATACTGTTTTAAGTAAATTAACTGACAGAGCAGCAGACCTTATTGCATCAAGAACAGAACTTGATTCTTGGGCAAAAGTTAAAGATTCTCTTATAGTAACATTTTCTGATCAGAGATCAATTGATTGTTTAGTACAAGATATTATTTCAATGAAACCAGAAAGAAATGAAAATGCACAAAATTTTGGTTTAAGAATCCAGGATGCTAGAAGCATTCTTTGTTCAAAAATTAATATGTCTAATGACCAATTAAATGTAAAAATATTAAAAATTCAACAATATGAAGATCTTTGTCTTAAAACTTTTATAAATGGCCTTAATTATCATATGCAGTTAGTAGTCAGATTAAAGAATCCTGATTCGATAGAGCAAGCAATGGCTTTCGCTAAAGAAGAAGAAAATTTTATTTCTTTTAAAAATCGAAGTAATAGTACGAGACCCTCAACTTTTAATAATTCTCGATCCTATAATAATTCTAATAGAAATTCAAATATTAATTCCCAACACTCTTCATTTCCAAATAGAAATTTTTCTCGAAATCAGAATTTTTCTAATTATAATAATTTTCAAAATCGACATTCTTCCCAAAGTTCTAGTCAATACAGAAATAATAATTTTTTCCGAAATCCAAATAATAATTTTCAAAATCGTCCAAGTTTTTCGAACAATGGTTTTAATAATAATAATAGTAACCAATTTCCAAGACAATTTCCAAATATACCTAGATATCAGCCATCTATTCCTACCCAAAGTCAAAGCAGAAATTCAATGCGACCTGAGCCAATGGATACAAGTTCCAATAACTTTAGTTTACGAAGTAACTTTAGAAATGATAGACGTTCTCCAAATAATTTATTTAATCATAAAATAGCGAGTAATAATGTAAGAGAAGAAAGATATAATCATAATGAAAGAATATATAATAATAATAATTTAAGAAGATATAATGAAAATGAAAGAATATATAATGATGAAAATTTTCCAGTCCAAGCCTCAACAAGTACAGCCACATAAATTTTAATGCGATTAAACAATATGATAAATTACCTAAAATAATAATTCCAGAAATTAATGCTACATTTTTAATAGATACGGGATCAGAACAAAGCTTTTTTAGACCTGACCTCGCAAAAGAACTTTTTTCGAAATATATAATTCCTGAGCACTTTGCTGTGCATACTGCACACGCTACTTCAATTCATAATGAAACTATGACCATTCCAATATTCCCTAGTTTCAGAAATCCAAATTGTCATAAATTTTATCTTTTCGATTTCTCTCCTAATTTTGATGGTTTGCTAGGATGCAACTTTTTATCACAAATCAATGCTATTATTGATTTTAAAAATTCAAAACTAAAGACCCCAACCATTTCTCTTCCCATATTTTTTGCATCACAAGACCCAACGAAACAAAAATATTTTAAACCAAGTAAAATAATAATACCACCAAGAACTGCTCAAAAAGTTAAAGTCCCAGTTAACAGAAGATCTGGTACAGCGATACTAAATTATACAAAAATCGGAAATGCAGAAATTCCTTCATGTTTAATTGATATCAATGATCACAACGCTTTTACTATGATAAGTAACCTAGGAGAAACTCCAGCGGAAATTAAATTTACAGAACCTTTTAACGTAGAATATATTCAAGAAGAAAATTTAAATAATATTCAGTCATATCATATTGAGGAGATGGACATAGAAGAAGAAGAAATAGACTATCTACAAAAAGAAAATCTCAAGAAACTTAGACTTAATCATTGTAACGAAGAAGAATACGAAGCCATAAGTAAATTATGTTATGAATATAGAGATATTTTTTATATAGACGGAACGCCCCTTAGTTTTACGAATGAAATAAAGCATAAAATAGATTTAGTTAATGATACTCCGGTTTACACAAGGAATTATAGATATCCGGAAGTTTATAAAAAAGAAGTTAGTAGACAAATAAATGATATGTTAAAAAATGGAATAATACAAGACTCAAATTCGCCTTTTAATTCACCCATCTGGGTAATAGAGAAGAAAATGGATGCAAGTAACCAAAAGAAATATAGAATAGTAATAGATTATCGCAAATTAAATGAAAATACCATAGAAAATAAATTTCCCTTGCCATTAATAGATAACATTCTAGATGGTCTAGGAAGAGCTCAATATTTTACTACGTTAGATTTAGCAAATGGTTTCCATCAGATAGAAATGGAACCAGCCGATGTACCAAAAACAGCATTTTCCACGGAGACAGGACATTATGAATTTTTACGTATGCCGTTTGGATTGAAAAATGCCCCAGCTACTTTTCAAAAAGTTATGAATAATGTATTAAGAGGATACCAGAATGAAATTTGCTATATATACTTAGATGATATAATTGTTTTTTCCTCATCATTGCAAGAACATGTTACAAGACTGGAAGCAATTTTTGAAAGACTAAGAAAATCTAATTTAAAAATACAACTAGATAAATCAGAATTTTTACGAACAGAAGTGGCATATTTAGGTCATGTGATAACAAAAGACGGAGTACGACCAAATCCAGATAAAATAAATGCAGTCAAAAACTTTCCTATTCCTACTACACAAAAAGAAATAAAGTCATTTTTAGGATTAGCGGGATATTACAGAAGATTTATCCAAGATTTCGCTAAAATAGCTAAACCATTAACAATGTGTCTAAAGAAACATGCAAAAGTAATACATACTCCAGAATTTAAGAAATCTTTTAATCATCTTAAAGAACTTTTAATTAATGCCCCTATTTTGAAATATCCAGACTTTTCAAAACCATTTATATTAACTACAGACGCTTCAAATATAGCCTTAGGTGCAATTTTATCACAAGGAAAAGTACCAAATGATTTACCCGTAGCGTATGCCTCAAGAACTCTTAATCAAACAGAACAAAAATATTCTACGATAGAAAAAGAACTTTTAGCAATTGTATGGGCTTGTAAAACATTTAGACCTTATTTATACGGCAGATCTTTTGACATTTTATGCGACCATAGACCTCTTATATGGTTATTTAATTTAAAGGAACCCAACTCCAAATTATTAAGATGGAGATTAAAATTAGAAGAATTTAACTATACTATAAAATATAAACCCGGTAAAACGAATATTGCCGATTCTTTAAGTCGAATAAATATTAATGCAATTGAAACAGAATCAAATATAAATAATCCCGGTGACATAGATTTTGATATCGACCAATTTTTAGCTGAATTTAACCCAGACATAGTTGATGAAAATGTAATAAATGAAACTTTGCAAATTCTCGATAACAATGAGGTTACAGAAAACCCACTAGTAAATAAAATTATACCAACAGGAAATGAGAACAATGAAAACGTTGAGATAGATAACTCAGACACAGACACAGCGCATAGTGCTGAATCTTCAAATGAAAATAGGTTCTCATTGTTAGATGAAATAATAAACAATAAAGCCTATCAACTTATCGTTAAAAGAGCGCGTTTTGCAAATTATTTAAAACGCGAATGCGAGAATTTTGAAGGACATAAAATAATAAAAGCTACTATTTCAGCCGACGAAGAAAGTGTAACCCAATTCCTAAAAGAAAATGCGTGCAAAAATACTTTATACATTTATTTCTTATCTCAAGAATTACGACCAATATTTCAGAATGTATGGCGTAAATATTTTACAAAATTAAAATTAATTGAATGTACAAAATTAGTTAACAATGTATTACCAGAAGAAAGAAATCAACTAATAAAATATAAGCACAACGGAAAAACAAATCATCGAGGAATTTCAGAGACTCTT